TATATATATATATATATATATATATATATATATATATATATATATATATATATATATATATACATAAACAACTCCTCCTCACCCGTGAGAGGTGGTCTCCTCCCTCCTTCTCCCCCTTTTTCCTCCAAGGCCTGGGAGCTTTAGAGTTCTGTGCAGTATCTTTGCTGTTCCTAGAACTGCACTCTTCTGGACCAGGTTGTTTGATGTATTTCCACAATGTCAAGCTTTTTTGCCATTACCATTCAGTCCATCTGTACCTGGAAGTCCCACAGGATCTCGGCTTAATCATTTTCTACCACTTTGTTGTATCCCACTTTGACCTTGGGGTTTCCAGCCCATACTCTGCACAGATGTTGCTCTACACTATTCCAGCCACTTGGTTATGGCGCAGCATGTAAGCTTTCCCTGCCAGCATATTGCACCCTGCAGTTATGTGCTGGATTGCCTCAGGGGCCTCCTTGCACAGTCTGCACCTGTGGTCTTGTCTGGTGTGGTAGATCTAGGCCTCTATTGCTCTGGTGCTTAGGGTCTGCTCCTGTGCAGGAATGACGAGTGCATCTTTGCTGTCCTTCCGGCTTTGTCTGGCCATTGGTAGGATTTCCTGATATCTGTTGTTCCTTCTGGGAGTGAGACCCCCTCTGTGTGGCCTACCTTCACTCTCTTACACACTTTCCTAGTCTGAATGACATCCCAGTGTCTGTGCCGGGTGGTATGGATCAGTGAGTCAATGTCTCGCTCATTCTTAGCGTACAGCTTGATGTCATCCATGTAGAGGAGGTGGCTGATTGTGGCCCTGAGTACCCCTAGCCAGTCTTGTTGGTTATTTGGCTTAGGGGGTTCAGACCCATGTAGAACAGCAGTAGGGACAGCGCTTCTCCTTGGTATATGCCACATTTGATGGAGACTTGTGTAAGTATCTTGCCATTGGACTTAAGGGTGGTTTTCCACAACCTCATTGAGTTTGCAATGAAGGTTCTTAGATTTCTGTTGATGTTGTATAGCTTCAAGTATTCATTGATCCAAGTATGTGGCATTGAGTCGTAGGCTTTTTTTTAATCACTCCAAGCAGTGCTTAGGTTAGTGTTTCGGGTTCTGCAGTCTTGAGCGACTGTTCTATCTACCAGGAGTTGGTGTTTGGCACCTCTTGTATTTTTGCCAATTCCCTTCTGAGCTGTGCTCATGCAATGTGATCAATGTGCCTCTTATCTTAGCTGCATGTGGAGTGGAAGGTTATGGGCCGATAGTTGGATGGGGCAGTACCCTTTGAGGAGTCCTTCAGGATCAGGATTGTGTGCCCCTTCAGTTAGCCATTCAGGGTGGTTCCCATCTCTCAGCAGCTGGTTCCTTTGTGCTGCCAAGCATTCATAGAGAACCATGAGTTTCTTAAGCCAGTAGGCGTGTATCGTATTGGGGCCTGGTGCTGTCCAGTTTTTCATACCTGAGACTCTTTCTGGGATGTCTGCCAATGCAGTGTTGTCTGGATTCTGTTCAGGGAGGTTGCTGTTGTCCACTCTCAGAGCTACCAGCCACCGTGCCTCCCTTTTGTGTGCTACCTTCTCCCATATGTCCTTCCAGTACTGTTCAGTTTCCAGCCTTGGTGGGGTTGTTCTACTATTGTTCTCCTGCCACTGTGCATACACTTTCGCTGGTTGAGTTGTGAACAGCAGGTTTACCCATCTGGCTTCATTGTCTCGTGTATATCTCATTAGGCGGCTAGCCAAGGCTTGGAGCCATTGTTTGGCAGTTTCCAGGGCTTTAGGTATGGGCTTCTGGCTATACCTCTTGGGTACCTCTATTATATATTTTGAAATAGATTTTCTTGAAACTTTGCCTCTTACAGAACCGGCATAAGTAAATCTGTTGTGTAGGTCATACACGGCACTGAGCCCTGCCCCCCGATTTTATGTGGTACTGAGATCAAAGCCATCTAACGGTGACAAAAACATTAATTTGCCGGTACAGTCAGTCATATTATCTATGCAGAAGCACTTTAGTGTCTTTCAGTCATGTACTAAGATGTCATTCTAATGATTACATATCATATTTTCGTTTCTTGGTGACATCCATTTTGTGAAGTTCACCAGTCCCAGTCTCTCTCTTTCTGATTGTGTGTTTTCTAGTCTGTATGTGTGCGCCCGCGGGTGCTTGGAGTGTATACTCCAGTTAATGATTAATCAATTACTAAATTAGTTGACGATTATTTAAATAATATGTTGATATGATTAATTGTTTCAGCCCTAGATAAAATACATGAATTGAGCTACACAGAGTAACTACAGCCCAGATGTACAACTTCTAATAATATTTTAAATGCTCAATGTCAGTTCCTCTTATAGTTCCAGTGCACATTGTAAATACAATACATTTATTTGCCGTATTATTTTGCATGATACAGAGAGAGCATATAAGATAAAAAAGATAAGAGTGGGGTTTACCTCTGCTTAACTCTGCACAATTCTATATCTTCAGAAGAAAACAAAGGATAAATCCACATATAACAGAAATATTTAGACTTTATTTAGTTAAATAGACACTGTCTTAGTCGCTGGTAAGTTTAAATGCAAACCTTTTCAAAGTGGAAAAAAGTTCTAATTCCATATTCATCAGAGCTGTTGATGCTTTAAACATTGATAAACAGCATCTAGTGCATGTAGTACTTATAAGATTTGTATTAATGTAGGAAGAAATGCTGCTGTTCTCTTTAAACAAAATGTGCTCTGATGCTCAGAATAAGCATAAAAAAGGAGCATCCATATTTTTGCATAGGACCAAAGACATCAGGCCAATGAAACTGAAGACCAATAGTGTCACTACCAAAGTTGAAATCAAACCTACACCCTTACATTTCATAATGACCAAACAATGAGATTTAAATGTATTTTTTGTGGCGCTTGTAGAGTAATGGGTTTTTTTCCCATTTCACTGGAGAAATAAACAGTCTTTACACCTTCTGTTTGGATTTCTAAACAGTTCTTTTGATTTTGTTAGCATAACAAAGCTTTAGATGATAACTTTATTATGAAAAGAAAATGTTTTTTTCATAGAAAGTTACTAAAAGAATATTAACAGGAAGACAACTTCAAAACACCAAAGGTGGCATGATGCTAGATGTTTGATACCATAGCAGGCAACAAAGACAGAAAAAAGGACAAGGGTTTTTTCTCACTTTATTTATTCTCTATCTCCTTTAGGTAAAAATTTGGTTCCAAAACAAAAGATCCAAATACAAAAAGATAATGAAGAATGGACCTTGTGGACCTGAGGGGGATCATCTCGTTCCACCACCACCCTCTTCCTCTTCTCCATGCACTCTGTGGGACATCAGTATGGCTGCCAAAGGCCCACCGGTCCACTCAGGAGGATACATGAACAATTTTGGACACTGGTACTCTGGACATCAGCAGGACGCCATGTCGAGGACACAGATGATGTGACAGAAAGAAAAATACAGGACCTCCTGGATCAGTAATGGATAAATGCCAGCAAGCTCAAAAGTACATCAAACAATTACATTCCTTACATTCTGAGCCACATTGGAGGTAAAAACAGTATTGAGTAGCACATAGTTGTGCCTAAAAAACTGTGCTACCTTTATTGAGCACTGCAGCCCTACCCTCATGGGACAATCAGAAAATGAATAAAGGAACTGCTAAAGTGTGCCTTTATAGTTGCTGAAATAAAATTATTGACATTCAGGCTGTTGTTATTGTTTTTTTCCAGAAGGACAAATTCTAATATTTTTAATGAACTGCTATAGTTCAACGAATTTGCTTATATATGGTTGAGAAGTTTTTAAAAACTGAATTAAATTAAAAAAACTAACAGGAGATGGCTTTTTAGTTTATTTTGTTTGTATGATGTAAAAATTTAAAAGGAAATGTTCCACTAACATCTGGGTATCCTGATTACTGAAGAGCCAGAGAATTCCAACTCACCTTTAATTATTGTCTTCTGTCCTCTGATGCTGGATTGTATTGGGATTTCTGGTTTGATGGTAAGTATCAAGGCGGAAAATAGTCAGACTAATGAAAAGCTTATGTTTTGGTCCTAAGGAAGCAGCTGTTCCTTTTTACGCTGCACATTTTTTTTTGATCTAACGTCCGACATTGTTTTTAGTGATCTGGTTTTTTTTTTTGTTTGTTTGTTTCTTATGAGACACCCCAATGTATCATAGCTCTTTGGCTGTTCCCAGTCATGTAAAAAAATCCATTATGTGTAAAGTGCTTTGCTGCCTTATAATAAAAATCTGTACTTTGTTGTTGGAAAAATTGATTTGCTCCTTCTCCTATGAAATAACTTGAAATCTTATCTTTATTTAAATATTTCAGCCTTATGCTGAGGAGGGGAACGTTCTGATTTCTAAAAAATATATCTTGGTTTAAACAAAATAAGGTACCTCTCTAATGATAATAAATAACTTAAAATAATATATTTTTATTTACCATAAATTGCCTGTTCTATCAAGCAGTTCATAATCTATGGCTACATTGGTCTAATATTAGATAAAACGAGAAATAACTCTGGTTACTTTACAATCCTTTCAGTTAAGCTTACATACATTTGTCAAGGTTGCAGAGATCAGGAGGGAGAGGTGAGTCTTGTAGATTTAAGGTGGAAACAGGCAAATATCCAAAAAATACAAAGAACAAAAAGAAAAATCACAAAACGTCAGGGAAAACTGGTGTAGGGAGCCAGAGATGAGGAAGCAACAAAGCAACAACAAAACAGAGTGCCTGGGGAATAGAACACAGCATGGGCTTATGAGCTGAATATGGAGCAGGTGTGAGTAGAAATAATCAAAAGGAAGCCAAGTGGAAAGGAAACAAGCACAAGGAGGCAACAGAGAGTAACTCAAGAATTGAATTCAGCAAGAAAACAACTACAAATACAGAGAAACTAAGGCCCCGTCCACACAAAGTCAAAACGAACACGAAACGCTGATATTTTCCAAAACGTTTGCCGTAAAGACGGAGACGTAAAATAAATGTGAGCGTCCACACGA